CCATTAGAAGGAGGGAAGCCCGGCGTTAGCTGGGCGGCCCGACTGGTATATATATAAACCGTTACTACTGCTCGTCTCCCTCTGACTAATTGTGCCTGTGAATTGCACATTACAACTTCTGGATATACAGGAGATCTTAATTTAATCTGGTTTACTTTTTAGTGGGACACTATCAGTAATGACATCTTAACTCAACAACAAATTTAATTTACAGGTGTTCAACGAGCAGCGAAACAAAGGGATCACCGTGTACTTTGCTGCAGCGCCATGTGAGTGCTTGTCATTATTCCTTTCCCTTATTGTATAAAGAAAAAGAAATGGGGGACACAGTAAAGAAAGGACAAGAAGGAGAAGTGGGTAGTCGGAAATGGGTCAACGGAGAGAATTGAAGTAAAGAATTGAAGCAAGTGCAAAAACTTGCGAGTGTATAAAAAAAAGAAGGAGGAAAAGTATTGGGTTATTGCATAATTATTGCGAATTTTTTCGCAGCTTCTTTTCTCTCGATAAGATTAAACTTTTGAATTCGGGATTTTTGCAGAAATAATCTTCTCGCTTTCCTTAACAGAAATATGTCTAGAAATTTATCTTATTATACGCCAAATTATGCTCTATTACTTCGAGAAATGTTGGAAGGCGGTCCCCTCTTAACGTGATCTCAACGAACTTCTCGGCGATGGAACAATCAGGCAAAGCCGAACAAGGAATGGAATCTGCTTCTGCGGTCGCCCTATTCACCAACAGATACTCCTATGGATTATCACATCAATCGCCCATTGGTAAATTGGTTAAAGAACAGAACTTTCTACGAAATGGATGGCTTGATGGCCATCGTCAAGGCGTGATCGCCTCCAAGAATTGAAACTTCTTCGTCTGTGGAATCCGACCGCCTAGCAAATGGGAAACAGTGCTTGACGTAGACGGTAGATATGTTCCTGAGCAATTATTCGAACATGTCTTTGCTAAATATTTCAAATAAACTCGATATTTCCATTTAACATTTTATTTGTTAGTTATTACAGTACAACTTCGTGTTCGTTTGGGATCGGTTTCGAGGCGGGACGATCCGGGTATTCTCACGAAGTTCTACCCATCAATCGATGATGCCTGGAACAATATCGAATGAATGTTCATCACAAAATACTATTTAGAAAATAAGCAGACTTTACAAAAATAATTATTTAATAAAATTTTCGCATCTCATGCTCTTGTACGTAGGTTGCCCTTTATATTTTGAGATTTGAGAACAGAAACAAATACTATTTATTGGAAATCGTTTTGCTGCCTTTCAAAATTCTCCACATTAAGATCTATACACTTTTGCATGAGCTCGAACCAGTTTTTGAAGCACTTTTGCCACTCTGATGTAGGTATCTCTAAAACATGGATTCTGGAGGATTCTGGACGCATTAACGGCTTCTTCAGAATCGAAAAAGGTTGACCTCTCATTTTATTTTTTACGTACGGGATGAGAAGAAGTCACCCGGGGACTACATGGCTGATGACCCGTCAAATCGTTGTT